AAAAATAATTACAATTTTGATACATTGCTGCAAAGTTGACAGGTCGAAATTTGGCTGAAATGGCGTTTTTCAATAAAAGTGGCCAAAATTCAAATTTTGGACAAAAAAATATGCAAATGAAGCCATAAAAAGTAATTTAGTCTTTATTCTACCTATTCTGAAAATTTCATACAAAATCATTCACAACTTTTTGAAAAATATCAATTTTAAAAAATAAATGACCTTACCAGACAGGACTCACTCCACTAATTCATTTGCCATCTCTTCCCATGTTAAAACACGAAATTCAACCTTCTATAACTTTTTCCAGAAATCTCGTTGAAAGCTTTCCAATATGTCGAATGAAAGCCTGACCAATTCTCAATGTCTCCTAAAAAATTCATTATATGATGACCATGAAAATTTTGAGCTACTAAAATTGAAAGTAGACTACTACCGGTTATACTCATCCGCTAGAGTTTGGCACTTCACAAAACGACTATTTTTAGAATTAGCCTTCCGCCTTTAAGTCTCTCATCATCTCACCAAATCTGAAAGATAATGCAATTTCAGACATCAAATTCCAAATCTAGACCAAATTTTACCCAAAAATAGGCAGGCAAAAACCCCAAAAGGGAGAGAGAAAGAAGATTTCTAAAAATAGCCTGGACTACATTCCTATACAATCATTTGCATAAAATGTTTTAGTGGAGTGAGTCCTATACATTACATACAATGGGACATGAAATTAAAGTTCAGACTTTGGTCTCAGGGCATGACATTCTCCCTGAGAGTGACAACAACATCAGGCAGAAGAGTTATATTATAATAATGTTATACAAGAGATAACTGTCTTAATACCCCCATATGAGTACTCTTAAAGTGTATATTGAAACAATTGCCTTTATTTCATTGAAGTACATAGCTGAAATTGAGCCCAACCTTCTAGTAAAGCAAATATCTATATAACCATACCCCTTTATGCATTGTTGTAGCGACGACAAAGACATTTTCAATTTCAAAAAGACATTCCAGATGATGTTCCTGTTTGATAGAATGCTGTAATGTACAGGAGATTTATACATTCCTAGATCAGCACCCTCTTACTGTGTTCACACTGAATAGTCAATAGTATAATAAAATCTTGATTTTAATTGATGATAATATACAAAAAAAATTAAAAACATTTTGAAAGTGAATAGGATCAATTCTGTAATTTTCTCATTTTTGCACTTTTCACTTTTTCTTCTAAACTTTCTGAAGTTGGTCTTGTCAACAATGGTATATGTTTAGAATCTTTTATGTCAATGAGCCAATTACTTTGAATAGGTAATTTAGGACATGGAATCGTACCGCTAGAGTTCTGTATTTGTTTTTCACCCAAAGAATCTAACATTCTCTTGATCATGGTTGTCTTGATGGAATTCTGAGACCACATATCCTGAAGGTGCTTTATATTATTGATATGGGATTCTTCACTATAGATCCACTCTACATCCTCATATTGACAGTCAAAAAGAACCAAGGGTATATAAGACGCCATATTATATTGAGGTTTCCTTGGATGTTTTTCTATATCTAATAGTTCATCTATTATACTAGGATCCTCCTTTCCTTGTCCAACTAATATCAACACTCCAACAATACATCTTATTTGATGCCATAGAAATGCCTTTCCTGCCACTGTCAATTCACACATATA